TTTCCTACAATGGGACATGTGTGCCCAACACAGACAGAAAGCAAAAGTCAGCTGCCACCCTGGAGGTGTTAGGGATCTCAGTAAATAGTGGATGAGTGGAGGCAGGGGTAGGAGCCCAATTTCAGTTTTTATAGGATATTTTTTGCAGATGTCTGAAGCAGAAGGAACTTTAGGTGCACCTTACAGCTCGCCACTTCTGCCATCATCCACTGTTTGACTTTATTTCACCCCTCTGCTCCTAACGTGCCTCCTCAGCTTCATCCCTGGCGCTGTGCTTTTCATCTTCTTCCTCCCAGCTGGGGACGACTCTTCTCTGTTGGCTGTGGTGCTCATCCTCTCCTGCATCCCGTGTCTGGCTGTGGGTGCACTCATCCCACACGGCAGCTCGCCAAGGGTTTCGGGCTGGTGTGGCTGTGCAGGGGACATGCTCACAGCCACCACGTGCCCATCCTGGTGCTCAGCTGGCTCCTACCTTGGATTTTCAAGTCCCCCCAGCAGATTCTCGGTACATTTTGCAACCTTCCTTGGAGGGGGAGAGATGGGCACAGGGAGCCAGCGGGGCCAGGGATGCGTCAGGGCTTGGAGCAGAGCTGGGGATCACAAATCCAGCCCTCTAGGGCACCCTGATCCCACGAGCATCGCACCCCACACGAGGGGACATGGGGCTGCCACCTGCTACTTGCCCGCCGTGCAGCTGCTGGCTTGGGATGACAAACTGACACCCGCTTTTGGAGGTCGTTACCTGCCAGGCACGGCAAAGTAAACGCATTAATGCCAGCAGCGCGTGGGTGGGAGCCAGGGCGGGCTGGGGCTGGGAGGATGTGGGCAGGATCTATTACCCCTGTAAATGAAAAACCAACAACGATGCCAGCACGGCTGCGAGCAGGGCCCCTCTGCGGGCGGAGGGGGGGAGGGGGCGGGATGGGGACCGATTAAACAGATGACACCCCAAAAGTGATGTCAAGCCAAGCTGGGCACAGCAAACTGCATGAGTTATAGGATGCTTGGACGCCAGTGAAGGGCTGCACCCAGTCTGGGGTGCTCAGCGTTTCCAGAGTGCCTGTGCTGGAAGAAATAGTGTGTTTGAGTAAAGATTCACGTTGAATACCTCTTTCTTTTGAAATCTAAACCTCTTTGCATTTAAACTGCTGACAAGGTATGTCAGGGCTTGCAGTTATGGTGATTTAAAATGTGATAGTGAGCGGTAAGCAATGCATCTGCAATGCCAAAGTTGAACGGGGAACCTGCAGCTCATTGCAGGGGACTGGGCCTGGGTGAGGTGACAAACAAGCTTTGACACCGATTGCTTCATCAGGAAGGGCTATTGGTCTATTTTCTGACTTCGCTTCCTTCAATTAGTTCAGTTCGCTGATGAGGTCAGCCAAAGTTGAGCTGGGGGAAGCAGGGGAGTTTTCTTATCGAGTGACAACTTCAGGCTAAAGCTGGGAGGATGCTATCGGGTCGCCCGGAGGCCTGCGGAGACGCGGGGACAGGGACACGACAGCGGGGTCTGGGGGATGTCATCAGCCCTCCTGCTTCCTGGGCCAGGTCCAGCTCTGGAGGGGGTGTCCAAAATGAGCTCATGTCTTGTGTCAGCACTGCATCTCAGTGTCCCCTTACTAATTAAAACCAAGTGGTTATGACATTTGGTGCATGGTAATTGAATGCCAATTTTCCCTAAATAGTGGTTGATATAAATAAGACAAACCCTGAATCTCTGCTATTAAAATGAATGGGTTACTTGCATTTTCTATGAAAGCCTAGAAACCGAGGCTCCGAATAATCAGACTCAAATAATCCTCTCCAAACTGGAAAAAAAGAAGTACTGGAGTTTTGAGGAAGAGTCCTGCCCTGGTATAAACGGGCATGTTTTCAGAGCTGGGAGCAGGAGTCAGTCTTTCTTCAGGGAAATAACCACAGAGCTCGGTTAGGGGTGATGGCTTAGAGCAAGTTTTCCTGCCAGCTGATTTTGATCACGGACTTTAACTGTTCTGCCCTGCTTGTTTCCAGCTTGATAATGGGTTTTGTCTGAGGATTTGTATGCCCAGGTGTTTCTAAGAAATCTTTATATAATACATAAGAATAATATAAAAGAAATATTTATATAAGAATATATATAAAGCATACAAATATAAATATATATAAAATATAAGTATATATAATATTTATGTAAGAAATATATAAGAAATATTTAATTATATCATATACAGCAAGGTAGGAGCATTTCCCGGCCATGGAGATGCCCTGCAGAGGGGCTCAGAGGGGCACGTCAGCTTGTGGATGCTCTGCCCGGTGCTTGGCATGTGCCATGGCCCCAGCTCCAGTCCTGACCTCCTTCCTGCAGAGCTTGCTTTCCTAGAAAGCTCTCCCTGCTGCTGGCTGACCAGTCCTGGAGCACCCACTGCTCCCCAGCCCCGACACCAGAGATGCCATCAGCCTGAAGCCAAGCAGGGAGAAAACCCAGCAATGCCGGGACTCCTTCCATCCCCGCACAGGGGCTGCCGAGCCCAAAAAAAGACCTGCCAGAGCCACCAGCTGTGTTTGGGTTCGCAGGCGTGCGTGTGTGTGAATGTGAAACGACACATGGGTGTGTTCCTCCTACCCTGCCGCATCGCCTGGCTCTGCCTGGCCACTGCTGCCAGCTCTTGGTGGGTCCCCCCAGCAAAGGGGCTCTGGGTGTCGGTGGGAGGATGCTTAATCTGATATGGTTATGGCTTTTTTTTTAACAAGTTGGGGGGGAAAAAAAAGTTCCAGGAGCGCTAGGGAATTAAAAATAGGCATAACATCTAAGCCTTGAATACAGCCTTCTCTCCCAGCCATCTCCTGCCCTGGTCCCCCTAGGCTGGGGCTTGATGCCCTCGTCTGCCAGGCGATGTGGCACAGGGTGGCTTCTGTTGGAGCAGAAGGGAAATTTCAGCTGGGCAATGCCCTGTGTTAATTTAGGTAGAATTTCATTTTGGAAAAGACAAGGGAACACTCATGTGACGTTTTCATTCCAAACTCAGGCTTCATTTTATGTGATAAGCCATAGAGCTGGAGATCAGCAGAAATTGAAATAATGAATTTCACTGTTACCAACTTTAAAAAAAAAATCCATTAAATGGCAAATTCTGAAATGTCATGACTTTTCCGACTGTTCAGCACAAAAACCAATCTGGAAGTGTCAGAATCTGAGCCCCCATCAGTCCTGAAAGCCTGGATGGCTCCCGAGGCTTTGGCGGATCCCCGGCCGGATCCCTGTTTGCTTTGGCTTTCTTAGAGAGGCACCCAGCTGCACATCGTGTTTTTTGCATGGGGACATCAGCCTTGCCAGCATCTCTGAGTGGCATCTGGGGCTCTGCCCAAAGTACCAGGAGGGCAAGGGGGTTTTCTGGCAGTTTTGCTCACGGCTGGACCACTCGCCCCGGTCGCCAATGCAGTACCTGCCCCAGGATCGCGCCTCTCCCAGCCAGAGCCGGACCAACCGGCAGCACAGGGTGCCCTGGGACCAGCCAGCTCAAATGGGGAGTGGTGGGTAGCGCAAAGCCCATATCAGCAATGATTTCCTGACAAACAGTGCGGCTCATTGTCTGTTCTCATTTATAAACTGCTCCACACCAGCCATCTGATATCCATTATTACAATTACAAACAACCCACAGTAACTCTCCAGCTGGTCAGCTCCATCCTAACAGCACTGCAGCCATTCAAGGATGCCATATGGTACCAGAGTTTCCAAAGCAGCATTGTCAATCAGCCTTATTAATTTCTGAGTTCATGTCTTTTCCTTTTAGGGATATATTTTTTTTCTTTCTATATAAGACAGAGACACTTCTCTGGCCTTAATTTGGAATATGCAGCTTGACAGAATAATTGAAACATCTACATCTACAAGGCAGCTGGCAGGGAAAGGAAGAGCCTGAACTCCGTGAGCAGCCCCCCGAGTAATGGTGCTCATGCAAGACCTCCAAGTGTCTCTTACCATATATACCACAGTGCGTGCCACGAGAATATTAAAAACCCATTAGATCCAGAGTGCCGGACATGGCTGGCTTTTTTACTGCAGATGGAGGGCTGCTAATGGCCATTTCCCTTCGATCTCTTAGTCTCCTTTGAGCTATATTTATTTTTTTCCCAACATTTTGGAGCCTCTGGGTGGTATTATTGGAGACGGTTGCAGATGCTGAGATGCTGCCGGCTCTGCCCATGCCCGTCCTGTGGCAAGCGGGTGCCCAGGTACGTCCCCAGGTGCTGCCCGACCAGGTCTGCACTGCTGCCATTGTGAGAACCCTCCTTTTGGGGTGATTCATGGGGAAAGAGTCACTTTTGTGCTCGGCTGCTTCCACGTGGCACCGTTGCAGCCGGCTGTGTTGGGTATCTGTTGCTGCGTCATTGCAGCTAGCAGTAAGGCCAAGGGTTGTGTCTAGCATGGGTGTAGGCACTGGATGCAGCCACTTTCAGCCCTGCAAACACATCAGGTTGTAGTGACCAGGCATTGCACCTTCTGCATTCACAGCAGCTGGCTGCAGGGACTGGTGGGATTTATTTTTTGCTTTGCTTTTTGTATTTTAAAGCAGAACCAGTAATCACCAAGGGACAGTTTCTTTTCTCGGCTTGAGGGGGCTGGATTTTGTGGTTCTGAAATGCTTCACCCCAGCTAAAGCTCAGCACCCAGGCTCCAGCAGGAGTTTCCTTCCCTGGGGGTGGGATAGAGGTGATGGGGGGAGCAGAGAAGGGGACCATTCAGGATGAGCCACCAGCAGCATGGCACCCTCAAAGTGTGCTTTCACATTTGATCTCTCCCCAGTCGACCATGTGGTGTTTACGTCCTAGAGCAAAAGCTGCCTGTCAGGCTACGGGTGCCTCTGGCAGCATCCCCAAAAGCACTGGGCTGTGGGTACATGTGCCTGGAGGGCTGGGAGAGCTGCTTGGCGCATGGTTTTGCTCCCAGCTTCAATACATGGCCAGAGAAATAGAAAGCAGGCTGAGTAGAGAGAGGAACATCCAGGAGCAATGTGCGCCATGGCAGGTGAGAGTGGCATGTTTCAGGGGCTGTGCATTATGCAGATTGCATGGGATTATGTAAAACCTCTTTGTTCACCCTCCCTGTCGAGGGTAAAGAGCTCTGCGGGGCCGGGACAGTTGTGGGGGGGGCATCTGCAGTCACACAGATGGTGACACTGGGGCTCCAGCCACCGGAGGAGGACCTCCCCTGCCTGCCTGTTCCACAGTCCCTATGGGCATTTTCCACATTGCTTTTAGCTCTTTGGAGGCACGTCCCAGCCTTGGGGAGCCCAGCAAGGATCCAGCACCAAACTACAGCCTAGCCCAGCTCTGCCAGGGGCTTTGCTGACCCCAGAGCTGTGGCCAATGTCCACCTCTGGAGGGAAGTGCTGGGAATATGTCAGCCATCTCGAGTAGCATCTCTTCAATGATGGCTGTTTGCCAGTGAGCAATATTCACTACTGCAGGTGCCTATACCCATGAAAAGTGCAGTTTGTGGTGCTCCTACCTATGCTTGCTCCTTGACATGGGCTGGAAGCCCCTTTCACACGGTTATTCCTTACTGCCATCATTTTTGTCTTGTCCAGTGGATATGCTTTGCAGGGTACATTGAACAGGGTGGATTGTTTGATTTATTTAAGATAACAAAAGACCATCTTTTGTTGCTGTTTCACACTTGTTTGGCTCCCAGCACTGAGTGCTGGTCCCCACCTGGGACTTTGCAGCTGTGGTTTGGTGCCCAGCTCGCACACCCATGGGGATGCTGCAGGGCATGGGTGCTCTCCTGCTAGGTGGGGGTGGCTTGTGTCCCCATGGATGAGTTCCTGTCCTGAGTTGAGTGCCGTGTGTGACCTGATCTCACCTGATGTAGCTCATGGCGGTGGTGCTGCCATGTTGGGGCAGCAGCCTGGAGCCTTCCCTGGTACGTGTGGGCCACGTGGACTGGGCTTATGTCACTGCTGAATTTTCATCTGGCTTTCCCCTATCCCTCTGGCCCTCTCCAGTGTGCAGATGAAGAAGGGGCCCTAGCGCTGTTTGGTATGGACATCCAGCTGATGCTCAGTCTCCTGCTGCTTTGCTGCTGCTCTGAGTTTAGCACTGGTATTTTCCCTGCTTTGTGCTGCATTCGCACCAGGACTGTGCAATGTTCCATCCTTTGAGTCCCTGCTCCCCTCCTCGGCTGGGTGTCTGGGGCTTTCCAGGAGGGCTGGAGGGCCAGGGTTGGGTGCAGTCCCCAGCAGTGATGGGAAGGAGCCCTTCCTTCTCCCAAGCCCACCACCACGTAGCACTGTCCCCCCGTGCTGCCCGCAGCCCCCAGCAAAGCTCTTCTGCTCACAGTCTCTCCCCACAGGGCGCAGAGACCTCCCTTTGCCCTCTGGTTACACCTTTTCCTTTGAGTTTCTGAATTTGTGACATTCTGCTTGATTTTCCCATGTCTTTCCCCCTCTGGCTCTCAGTGAACCACCCCACATGTTCTGCAGGAGGCTGCTTGCTTGCTCTGCACCTCTCTTGCTGTGGCCACAGGGCTGTCTGAGCCTCCATGGAGCAGCCTGCTAATCTGGCACAAATGAGTTTGCCGTTCAAGATGCGATAGTGCCGTGAGTCAGGCATTTTGCAGAGCCTGGCGTTGTGCAGCTCTATTGTTTCCCCAGATTCTCGATGACACTTTTTCAAAGGAGCCCTCATGGCCACAACATTTCTCGTGGGTTGGGAATGCATTGGGAGAGTCTCCGGGATCTCACGTGGGTCCCTCCAGCCCACTGCCACAGAGCCAGATGCTGCAGGGCCATGTTGTGCCCTTTGACTGTCCCGCAGCAGAAAGCCACTGCTCTTGGGTTTGTTTTCCTTTTTCCCCAGCCCTGATGCAATTTTGCAGTTATCCCATTGCGCCCTGAAGAGCGTCCCGTTGCTAAACCCATCCTCTTTCATGTCTCTGCCCAGCGCCGAGGCTCTGGGATCTGCACCATTGCTGTTGCTTTTGCTTGAGGCTTGTTGTGGTTTTTTTTCCCCACAATTTTTTTTTGGTGGGATTTTGCTGTTTTCTCAGCATTCTTCAATTATGATTTCACATACCTCCTGGAGCTGACTCACTGCTGACACCATCTTCTCTGCATATCGGAGGGGAAGCCAAGCCAACATGACTTTCTCATCTTATTCTTTCCTCTGCCTACACAGTTCCTTCTTCTCCAGTCCTTCCTGACAAGCACGGTTGCCCGTGTGCCACCGCTTCCTTGGGGACACCTCACCACGAGCATGGTGCACCTTGCTTCATGCAACATGTGGCCATTGTGCTCTGGGTGAATCTTGGCATCACCCATGGCCATCTCTGCCGATGCTCCCAGGGCTCGGAGCACAGGCTGGGCAGGTGAAGCCTCTGCGTTAGCACTTCTCCTGACACTGCCATTGCAATTTATGCCAAGATTGACAGAGAAGAGAATATTTCCCTTTTTCTCCCCAAGTCCTTGAGGGTGTTGGAGGTAAAAAAGTCCACTCTACCAGCTGCTCTGCCCCGGGGACTGCTGCCTGGAACTGCCTGCACCAGGGAAGGTGAGCAAAGCGGGCAAGCACCCATGCAACACCCTCAGTCCCATCACATGATGCCGAGGTCGGTCAGCATTTGCTCCAGATTCTGGCCCGCACCAGCTTTCCAAGAAACTTTGGAGCAGGAAAAAACCACAAACCCAACCTTAGTTTTTCATTTGCAGCTGGAGTGAGGCCAGATTTTGCAGCAGGACATTTTTTGGTGAAAATGGAGCTGCTGTCTTCTGACCAGCACCCATTGAATGGCTCCTGCCCAGCCTCCACCATGGGACAGTAGAGCTGGGGCCAGGAGGGGAGAGCCAAGGGGCAACAGCCTGCTGCCCGGTGGGTTTTGGTGCCGAGCCCGCTCCCTGCTGAGTCCCCAGTGAGGTGCCGCCAGAGGGGACCGGCTGCCTCTCTTGCGGGCTGCAATTGCAACTTTTCTTTGAAAACTCTCCAGTGCTTTGTTCTCCCCCTGATACAATCCATTTGGAGCAAATGCAGTTTCAGAGCATCTTGCCAAGCCCGCAAGCTTTGGGGAGGCTGCTGCGAAGCATTAGCGGCAGATAAGGCCTCCTCGGGGGTGGACGTCTGGCAAGGGAGGCGGCAGTGGTGGAGTCTTGCCTCTTCTTGTCCCTGGCCTGGGGACACCGCTGACCAGGCAGAGGAGCCTGCCAGGGGATGCCAGCCTCCGCCTCGGCTCCTTTTCCCAATGGGCTCTAGGGCCTGACCCTGCACACTGCTGCTCCTTGCATCCCATTGCTGGTGGACCCCTGCCTGCTGAGCACACCGAGGTGCCCCAGCATCCCTCCAGCTCCCTGGGGAGCTCGGTGACAGACTGAGCAAGGGGCAAGGGCACGTGGCTTGGTGGCAGCAGGGTTGGGATGGAGTCCCCGTGCTGGGGTCCTGGTCCTGAGCCCCAGCACTGTGGGAGTCAAAGCTGGACTCACCCCACCTGCGGCCACAGGAGTGCAGGAACTTTTGAAGCCCCTGGAGGCAAATTCCCCTCCTGCCTTGTCCTGCCTGGTCCCTGTCCAGGCATGGCTCCTGACACCCTTCTCCTGCGCCTTCCAAGGGGTGAGCCAACCAGGTCTGCCCGCCTGACATCCCGGCTGGGTGCAGCGTGGTTGCTGCAAGCCCTGGCACTCCTCCCCTCTGCTGCCCCTTTGCTCCTCCAGCCCCTGTGGCTCCGAGGCTCTGCATTTCTAGATGCAGTGCCAATAAGCAGCATTTATGTGCTGCATTTGTCTTGTGCAGCATTTGCACAGAGCGCTTACACCATGCAGCAGTGACATGCAGCATTTACATGCAACATTTGCAAGCAACATTTGCAAGCAACATTTACACGCAGTATTTTCGCCATGATGTTAGGAGGGGAGAAGAGAGGAGACTTCCAGCTCCGCTCTGTGCATGGGTTAGCCCACAGGCAGGCAGTGTTAGAGGTGCAGGCAAGGGATGCCCATGCCTGCGAGGTGCTGGCTGGGCGATGGGTGGGCTAAGCCGGGGATGCAGGCTGTCCCCAGCCCAATGGCCCCAAGTGGACCCGGGGCTCTCGGTGACAGTTGACGGGGGGGGGAGGCTGGGGGGGTGGGAGCAGGGCAGGGCGCAGCAGGGGAGGTTAATGCCGTTATAAGCCGGGGCAGGGGGTCTCCAACAGACGAGGCCTCGCCGGCCAGATGGGGAGACTCGTCTGCCACTCGCCAGGGCCACAAAGGAGGGTCCCCTGGTAGCAGCTGGTCCCAAGGAAGAGGTTAAGGAGACACGTGTCGGGGCAAAGCCCAAGGGTGGCAGACGCGGCCCCGGCCTTTGTCGGGGGTCATCTCCCATCTGACGGGGAGCAGGTGGGGCGGGAGCTGCCCGTGCCCGGGGCCGGAAGGGAGGCAGGATGGCTCCATCATGGCCCTGCTGGGCAGTGGCTGGCTGTGGGGGCACAGCATCGCCTGTGAGAGCTATTCAGCACCATGCTGCCTTTGTTGCTCTTCCAGATAATGAATTTTTTTTTCCTCTTTACTTTTTTCCCCCCAAATGAATGGGAATGGCCCCATGGCAGGAGCCCTGGATGCCACAGCCCAGAGCAGGGGACAAAGCAGGGGACAACAAGAGGGTTAGCGGCTCAGGAACAGGGGCAGGGCCCAGCCAAGCATCCTCCCAGTCTATCTCGCAGGAGCCCGACGGGGACTGGGACGGGTGTCCGTCCTGCCTACTCATTTCTGGTACCATTGGGCAAACCCCAGGCAATGATTCATCCCTGGGGCTGGGACTGGCAGGGCTGCAGCCCCATGGACATTGCTGGCCCCAGGACCCACTATGGGTGGCACACAGTGGGTGCCAGGATCCGGCCAGGGGTCAGAGCTCACCCCCTGGCACAGCTCTGCACCCCTCACCTGGCTCAGGCCCCTGCTGGCCTCTCTGCTCGCCGGCAGCACAGGGCTAATTTCAATTATCTTCTCCAGGCCATATGAATTCTATTAATATCAAAGTAATGAGGTAATTACTGTGATTCGG